TAGACATAGATATATAAAGAGACAGCGTTTGTTTGTATGGACACAAAAATTTCAAAAACTATTAAACCGATTGGTACCAAATTTTAACAGTAGCTTCCTTCCTTCCTCTGAAGTAACATAGGCTATTTTATTTTTAAAAAAATGATATTACATTCTCATAAAATTACGTAAGAATATGTTGAGCACTGAGCGCTCTGAGTTTATAGCTACTCCCTAATTAACGCTCCCAACCGCTAGGTGGTTACACGCGTTCGTGCCTACCCGAAAGAGAACTCGCAAAGTTTGCACGATATATACAAAAGTTCGTTTCGTCCGGTGAATCGTCTCAAAAAACAACAAGAAATGTTGTATACTTCGAAGTTCTATAATACTACTTTACAATTTATCTAATCGTAGTTGCTAGTTGCTAGAATACTACTTATTTTATATTTAAGTAGAGTTAATGAGATTGTTTCACGTCTTGAGCCAATATATGCTTATTCAGTTAAACTAAATTTTGATCAATTGTCTTTTAATTTTATATTCAAAGTGTAAATGGACATTAAGTTTTATCAATCGTTCAAAACAGTTGCTATTATCAATATTATTGTAGAACCTAGTTTTTTACTAAAGTTCTGGAATTTCATTTTTTAAGTCAAATAAACAATCTACATTTTGTTTAATATATGGAGAAACCTCAAAGGGTCCCGTTTGAACAGCTCTTTTTATACTCGAGTCATTGAAGAAACCATAATGAGTCGCCTAGAAATCAAACGGTAAAGGAAACATTGGAGTCGCGGAAAGTGTCAGCGCGCAATAGTTTTAATAGTATTAATTCTACCTGGAATTACTTTGCCGCCAAACAGTAATGAGAAGGTCGTAAAGCGTCGGCGTAACGAGTCGAGAAAACGGGCGCGCACGTTTTTCTTTCTCCCTCGGCGCTTTGCCATTATTGTTATCAAAAATTTCTTTTCTTCCCACGCGCGCGCACGGCGGTCGCTTTTCGTCGTTTGCCTTTTGCGAACCACGAATTCGAGTGTCGCCCCAGAGGTCTATTGGAACGCGTTCCCGGAAGGAGTCGCAAAGAACGTGTCAGAAATTACGGGCCGGGACCCCCTTTTAATTTTTTTTTCATAGTAACGCCGCGGCGAATTTAATTAAAACGATGTCCATACAGAAGTTTGTATTTTGTTTGTTTGTAGCGCGAGCCGACTGTGAGCCACGTTAATTAATTACAGAATATAAACGCAAGTTCTGTGCCACCTTGCGCCGCTTAGTCACTTAACGGGGTACCTGGAAAGAAATTAATGGGATTCGATGAATTTTTGAACATTGCAAATGGAAAAGTAACGGAGGAAAATCGCGGATATATTAAATTGTAGTTTGAAGTGGAACAGGTAACGAAAGGAACACGTTTTACATTTTTTGGTGCAATGTTCGTTTTAAATAAATAGGATTTAAACGTTTTTAAAATAGAAAGGGGTGTTTCGTGAAGTCTATCTGTCGCTTGACGCATTCACTGCTAATTATGAGATATCCTGTGGTTTGTTCTACGAGTTTAGATTGATTGCAATTGGTCAGCGAATATTTTTATTGCAGTTTAACTTAGGAAGAATAAATGAAAATTAGAAAGAATAAATGATATTTGATGTCACTTTTTATTATAAGCATAATAACTTAGATTACACATCTGCATTCAATCTTGGCGCCCAAGGAAACGTGCTCTAAAATTGCTTAAAGAGCTGTGAATGGGTCAAATAAATAAAGTAAGCGACTCGATTAAATCTCCATTATTTAAATAAAATTCTGGTTATCTAATGCTTTTCAAATTGTTCTTCAGGGTAATTTTGTAAAGAGTAATACAATCACAACATATTAATTATATAACACGTTAATAAATCTCCCTTATTTAAATAAAATTCTGTGTTTTCCTAATCGAGGTCGTTATTTCTATGAAGTCGCAATTACCCTTGAACGGTAACGTTTTCGAAAATAACAGCTGTTCGTGCCAGTCTTTCAACGCCGTTGCTATTGTTAAGCAATATCCCTAATGCAGTGCCGATTCATAAATACCCTCACATACGTGTCCGGCGCGACATTACTGTAAATGACGACTATCGAGGACCGTGTATAACTGGACGTTACACGGCTAGCACATAAACGTTGCTTGCACCGCTCGATGAACAGTAATTACACGCGGTACGTTTGCCACTGATTCGCCCACGCCGTGCCCCCGCTGGAAAAAGTAAATGTTGGCAGCAGCGAGCCGCGAGTGACTGCTAGAGAGATTCTATCGCGCGGGATAGCCGGTGTTACTGCGATCATTTGTCACCTGTTCGCTCGGTTAGGTGAGACGTCAGGTGCGACAAGATTTAGCTAACGAGATGATCCGATGTCTACAAGAATCGATCGACGTCAGATTATATTTAAATGTAAGAACTATATGGAGAGTAACGTCTCCGAAAATGAAATTTTTGGTGGTAATATATAGGCGTGCATCTTTTTCGAAATTATTCCAATTTGAAAAATAAGGTTTCGTTCCAATATCTCCCCAAGACGGGACCGTAATTAATTTTAAGTAAAGAGGTACGTATTTCATACATTTATTTCGCATTTCCGAAAGATTTTATCGTTTAGAATTATTCCCCGTGGTAATTGCCCAAGGACGTATTTTTGTTATTAAACTCGCGCAGGTAATTCACATGGTACGAGAACAAATTATAATTGGTTGATATCCACGTGAAAAAAAAAAAATGAATATGCTGGGGCAATCCCTGCAGAATAAATATTAATGTGACACATGAATTGGCTTTATTATGAAGTAAAATAAAAATAGTCAATACAGATATTCCTCTTTCCAGGTGCGCAAATAATACTGTCATTATTTTCCACTGAACTGTGGTAAAAAAAAACCTACAAAAATAACGCGAGTATAATTAGAGGCGACTCAATTTCACGTGATAATTAATAAAACACTGGCTTATGTAGCCTATATAGATCGCGTTAGCGTCCGCCACGAAGATGCACGAGCTGCACCGGTTTGAAGTTCGGTAAGCGAGCTTCTAATCCCGGTCTCCCGATTCGAAGATGTATATACATCAACACCATAGAAGTTCTATGGGTGAATTTGTATTCACACACCGATTATCTATTACTTCTTCAATTTGTAATGAACCAGTCATTACTTTTGTAATGTGTAATGGAATTGCCACCAGTTATTAGTTTGTTTGGTAAAGAATATTGCATTTTTTAAAACTCTGCATAAAAGACGATTCAATGTTTCGAATTCAATAAAAAACCAGACCTAACTCAGACCTAACCTAGATCTAAAATTCTATTTTTAACTTCTTTTATTCTATTTTTAATTTCTATTCTAACCAGCATCGTAGAAGCTGATTCAATTTCTCAAATCCACTCCTGAAATTCCATCTTCAAGTATCCCTATCCCCTAATGCCTAACAAACCAATCTTCGACAATTCACGGCTCGAAGTGACGAATTTCTGGCGGAGAGGGGGTAACCAGCAAAAATTAGACGCCGTTCGTTCATAGACGCGACCACGGCAAATTTGTTTATCGGGGTGCGAGTCGGCCGGGGCATTAATACGCGGGACGTCAGCGATAACCATTCTCAATATCCATAATTATTATCAGCGGCGGGAGCCGTTGTCAGCCCAGGCGCACCACGTGACTCGTTCCCGTCGAAATAAAATGACAACGTTCATTTGCAAATGCGCGAAAGTGCATTATTTTTATTGGGTTTGTTAGTAGCCGAATCGCGACGCGTTGGTGTGCACCCGGGGTTGCCGCACGTTCGAGTTGGCTTGTGTGCGAGAGTTGCGCGTGTGCTTACGCGAGTTCCGGCGAGCGTTGTTGGCTCGTGTTCCCCGGCAGAAGCGAAAAGGGGACGATCGTGTGCGCGCGAACGCGAGCGTCAGCTTCGTTCTACAACGACGGCTAAAGGGAGTGTGACAGATTCGCTGGGGGAATTCGGCTGTCGATGGATTTTTTTTTTTTTTTATTCTGGGTCGCCAGCCCCGGAGAAAAACTGCGTCGATGTTTGGCAACGATTCTGGCCGCTCGAATCGACGTGTCACAGGAATTTATCTTTCTTTGGGACGACGGGAGATCTTTTTCCACGGTGAATAATTATTCACTGCGAAAACGCCATCGAAAATTTTCGACGAGGGGAGGGGGCAGAAAATTTTTGTTTCTGGGAACTTTTGGTGGATGAGTTGGATTTTAACCCTTTGGAGTCCTGAGGATTTTGATAGATAAGATAAAGTCTCTAGAGTACATTCTCTGGTAGAGAAATAAGGTAAATTTAAAGTTTCGCGCCACTATTCTTTAGAGGGCGTTTATAGGAACGCCTGATGCGTTTTATTTTGTAGTTCCGAAATTTCATGTTCATCTTAGTTTTATTTTACATTTCTAAGAAAGTTCTTCGGTCCTTTCGTGATATCATTTATTTTCACTTATGTTATCGGTGTTTTATATATTGTATGATTTAATAAATAAACATTAATAATGTGTTTCTAAGATTTTCAAAAGCGTACACTTCCTTGCAGATTTCCATTCAAGTAGCACGAACAAATAAATAAAAGTAGCATTGCAATAAATTACATGCTTTTTATGCTACATTATTTAATGCATGATTCTTTTTAGCATATTCTGTAACAAAATGGCTTTGTAACAAAGTGCAAAGAGTTAAAAGTATTAGTAATTGCAGAAGTATTTTATATTGTTTGGTACATCTTTATACAAAAATTAAATTTTGTTGGAGCTGTATTTTAATGTACTGAGATTTTAATTAGTCTAGGATGTTTTGAAAAATAATAATCCAATGCTAGAGTAAAATGCAAGCACAGCCATGCCACTTACAGGGCGAGTGAAATTGAACAACCATTTAATTAACAAGCCTTCTCGAGAATAAAATCGAAAGCTTGGTATTTTTATTACGTATAAACTCTCTTCAATTCCTTTAGTATAATAAACTCCTGCGTTTCGTCTTACAATTGAGGGATGGTACCCTACCCCCAAGGATTCTTCCAAGCAATTAATCTGAAAAAAATGGTGGGGATAGTCACGCGCCTCTTACAGAGTGTCTTCGAAAATACTCGAAGTTTTATTATACTCTAATTGATACAGCATTCGTTTCCATCCATTTATCCTGAAATTAAAAATTATCCTGATATTAAAAACGTTTTGTAATATTATTATAAGAATTTCATTAAATTAATTTGATTTTCGTTTATGGTTATATCGAATCGCAAGCTACCAGCTCCAAACAATAGATTAACACGGTTTGGCACAAAGGTGGCTGAGTTTATTCTTTGGTATTCTTATTCGTATTTAGCGAGGTACGTGATGAGATTAAACTAATCACTGAATATCAGTAGCGAACTTTATTAAATTATACACGGTTGCTCGCGCGGTGTCGTGGTGTCTAACTTTAACCGTTTTTCTCGACACTACTTAAAAACGCTGACAGCAAAGAACCGATCCTCGCCATATGTCGCGTAAGTAAAAAGTAGGTGACTTTCACTATAATATGTCTCGGTCATAATGATTTATTATCGATAAATGCTTTTACATAATTAGTTTATTTAATTATAATTATCTCATCTTACCTTTTGGTTCTTATGTATGTATCCTTATGTAGGTTCACTACTTATTTTTTATTTATTTTATTAGGTTCTTTTAACACGCACCAGAGTCTGCGACGATTATAATTTTTGTTTCATTTCATCTTAATTTCCTTTATGCTCTAATTTAACAGTTTGAGAGTTTGCTTCCATTCGAAGTGTAAGATTTTATCTGTTCGTCGTCTGATTGGTATCATGGATCTGCTATAATTCATGGCTATAGTTACCCAAAGAGTTTCTGTTTCCCAACGAGTGTCACAGTACCTGCTGAAACAGATAACCCTTCAGTTAACCCTGAACCCATTCCCTTGCAGGCAAATTTAAAGCGTTTTGCCTTGGACGCCAAAATTTAATACAGATGTGTAGTCTAGGTTATTCTTCTTATAATAAAAAGTCATATTAAATTTGTTGTTTTACCAAGAAAATTTGCCATCTTCTTTTGCAAAATATTTCGTGAGTCAGAAGGCTATAATCTTATCCCTTGAATAATTGCAATCTATTTAAACTACGAGCCGCATCGCAGTTGACAATGAATGGGTTAAAAATGGCTACTCTATATACAAGGTGTCCCAGAATTAGTATAAGCCAAATGGGGGGAAAGTGAGACCATTCTGAACAACAATTTCCTTTGCAAAAATGTTGCATGGTACTTCGTTTTTTGAATTATTAACGAGAAATTGCGGACCAATCACAGCGCCTGAGTAGCGCGCGCTCAGCCGCGAGAGGCGGGCCCGATGGCTGGCCCAATGGCTGAACCGAACGCCCGGTTCGAGCCAACCTCTCGCGGCTGAGCGCACACTGTGATTGGTCCGTGGTTTTTTGTTAATAATTCAAAAACGAAGCATCATTCAACATTTTCGCAAAGGAAACTATTGTTCAGAATCGTCTCAGCTACAATTTCCAGTTCTTACACTAATCCTGGGATTAACTTCACTTCTTGAAGAATTTTAAATTTAAGTGTCAAAGCATATAGTCATAACTTTTTATATTAATAATAAGTTTCCTGAACAATACAAATTCACAGCATTAAACGACAAAATTTGTTTGGCCATTGAATAATAAATTTCTCAACTTTTACCTAACCTAACCACCTAACAAAACTTCCTTCCACTAATTCTTTAGTGCCAATAAACCCCCAAAAGCATCAACAAGTTATTCCAGCCAACTGTTGTCGCTAGAAGAATCATTTCACCCTTTATCCATCCCCACGAATACTCGACGAAAAAGATACCCCGATGGCGCCTCGAAATTCCGCGGTGTAATGAACGAGCGCAGAGTGTTGCGTCCAGTCCCGATTGAAATTTCCGAATGGGAACGCAGATAGGACGAAGGAGAAAACGCCGAGTTCTCGAGCGGGGAATCGAATCCGCGTGATTTCCATCTGAAACCTCGGCCACGTTTTCGGTTGATGGTTTATATTCGCGAGCAGTCGATTTTAATAAACTCGATGTATACGGTTGGCCCCTTCTCTTTGTGGAGAAAGTTTCCGGGAGAGCGCGCCGATTTTTAAATATAGTGCCGTAGGTTTGGCCACCAATGAGAGCCGGGTCGGGCGGGAACCGTACCACCGTCAAAGCTTTTCGCAAGCGTTCTCCGCTTGCCTCGCTGATCCACGAAAAAGGCTCGCCATCCGTGGAATCTTTTGTTTATAATTTTTTTGATCATTACCCAACAGGCTACTAATTCTCCCGGCGGGTGCATTCAAAATTTATCGACGGAGCGACAAAACGCACCCTCCAATATTTTTTATCTCTCTCTTTTCACCACCCTCTCCCACTATCCCATCCTCCTCCTCCTCCTACACCCCTCCCGCCCTCTCCCGTTCTCCACGCCTCGCGAACCCTTCTGTCTGCCCTGCTCCCTCCCTTTCTGTTGCTCGTTTCGTCCCGTTCTCTCCAGCCGTACGTGCGCTCTTTCAAGCGCGTCCCATTCCCTATTGGACAGCGTTCAAAGGGTATTCAGAGTCGAAGGTCCGGAAATGGTTCGGTGAAAAAACAGGTAGACAGAGTTAGGCGCTTGTTTGTCCAAGGGATCCATCCGGGCATCGTGATTTTCCAAAAATTGAAACCAGTCCATCGAACGCGCGCGCCCCCGACTCCTTTATCTACGCTCAGCTAATTACACATTTGCCTAGCGAGCGTGTTTCGACCGTCGATAGGGAAAATCATTCCTACTGATCAACGTCTGACGGCGTAATTCTATTTTAAGAAGGTTCGCAATACGACAATTTTAAAAATAATGAAGTTGATCGAATAATATCGGTGAATGTTTATTTTCGCGTAATTAACTCATTCGCTGCTGGGCAAATTTACAGCGTTTCTGCTGAGACTCCGAGATGCAACACGTTGATTGCCGTGTCACCCATATATGGGCGACAGTGGTTTACACTCGAAAATTGAGAAGATTTAATTCTGAAATTTAGATGAAATTCGTGAATTTTGATGTTATTACAAAAATAAATACCACGATAACTGTTTGTAAATGATTTTTTACCCCAGGATCTGCTTAGATCAATTTTTCATTGTTTACTAATTCTACCCTAAACTAACCAATCTCAAATTATTACTTACTCCAAAAAAACAAAATTATTTCAAACCTTAAACTTCTATTTACCCATCGACTACAATCGATCACTGTTTCCTTTGATCCTTCCCCCTCCCCCTTGACAATAATCACCGTTTAACCCGAATCGATAGCAGGGTTGAATAATTATACTTAGCACTTCTTTAAAAATTCACCTACCTCAGAACCTGCTTAGGTCAATTTTTAATTCTTTACTAATTCTACTCTAAACTAACCAAGCTCAAATTATTACTTACTCCCAAAAAAAATTATTTCGAACCTCAAACTTCTATTTACCCATCGACTGCAATCGATCGTTCCTTCCTTTGATCCTGTCCCCTCCCCCTTGAAAATAATCACCGTTTAACCCGAATCGAAAGCGTCCCTATTGCGTCCTCCTGTCCTTTCGGACAGTGGAGTGGTAATAAACTGTTCGCGTCGGTCAAAGAAACCGACGCACCGTTAATGAGACGCGCTAGCCGGGTCCCGTGGCTCCGATTCCGCGCCAGGAGGGCATATTTGAAAAAGCCGAGAGGCGGGCTCGAGGTCGACGGAAAAAAGGGTAACAGTCTGCATTCATGGATCGGTGGTAGGGGGGGGGGGGGGGGTGCTCGAGCGAAAGCGGGGCCACGGTAGGAATAATGTGTTTAGACGCATGCATTTTTATCGCGCTACACCCCCGCCCGTCCGCCCAACCCCTTTCCCCCAGTCCGAGGCTTTTGTTGTTTCCAATGCTTTATGTGAATTGCACTGTAAAATCTCATTATAGTCGTGTGCAATGCGTCCATTATATCCCGTGCCAGAAACATTTTTCCCCATCCCCACGGCGATTTTCCGCCCTTCTTTTTCTCTGCACGTGTGTGTCTCTCTTTTTTTCCATTCGTATATCACCCTCTCCTACGGAACATTTCCTAAATTTATACCGTTCGCGCGACGGTCTAATTTGTTTCGACTGGAGAACAACGCCGCGACGACGGGAACGCTAATTATACCTGCATTAGTCCGTACGGTCGGGGTACAATTTCGTCTTGGATCCTCGGATCCTCTACTGTTTTGCCTTTTTGTAGATCGTTCGTTTTTTGGCTCCTTCAAGGGATGATGTTAGTTATTTTTTAACTGGTCTTCGGAAACCTGTGACTGTTGTACAATTTAGTAGGTTCATTGGTAGATTGTTTCTTGTGGAGGGAGAGCGAAAGAGGAGAAAAGTAAGGGAGCGTTTCGTCCTGGGCCTGCTATTGGACCAGTGATGAGCAAAACCCTAGATTTCGAATAAATCTGAAGTTTGCCGATATGTTTGTCTCGTTTCCTCTTCTGAACATTTTCCAGAGAAAGAAACGAGACAAACATGTTGGAAAACTTTAAGATTTATTCGAATCTTAGGGTTTTGCCTATCTCTGTACTGCACTCGTCAGTAAGACGCCAATATTTTTATTGTTCTTTATATTTAAATAAACGTATAGAAAGAAGTTCTACGACCCAATCTAATTATATTATTCAATTTTTAATAATTCCCCCAGTTTCTGAAGAATTTGATTTTAACCTCTTGAACCATTGATTGATCAATTGATTTTAATCTCAGAATCCTCTATCTTTCTTTTATTAAAATAAAAATTTGTATTAAAATAAAAATTTTTATGTTTCCCATTGCATTACCAATGAGTCGAACTTAACACGAAAATAAAAATTTTTATATTTTTCATATCGCCTCCATGCGAGCATTACCAATGAGTCGGCGAAGTTTACCTGACGAAACTGAGTCCACATACGACCTCATTCGGCCCCAATTACTTTAACAATACCGCGAGCACCGCGCCCCAAACACCTGCAATCAAAACGAGGTTGTGTCTGTACTGAATTTCGTCTTGCGAGTCTCGTCAATCCATTAGTAATACTCTTGTCAAAATTTAATGAAAAATGTACAAATTTTCATTTTCAGTGTTGGACGACTCACCTTGGCGTGAGTGCTTTACCATCATGGGACTTCGATCGTCGATTGCACGTAAGTGAATTAGTTAGGAACAATTCTCGAAATTATGGTGGCAGATCGAAATATCTGTATCAATATGCAAGTTTGGTATATTGATAATTGTTTTAGGAATTTTGTGTGATCGAAAGAAATTCGTGGAGTAGGTAATTAAATTCTGCACTTTTCTAAAAATTAATCTACCTTGAGAGGTTAATTAACCACTTAGGTCAACTTTTAGTATTCTCAATTTTTGTTAATTCCAGGGAGGGTTAATTTGGGGTCTTGACACTCAACTGTTAAATTTCTTTGATTTTATTACATTAGTTATATTATTTTCTTTCTTTCTATATTATCTGTCACAACCACTTTCACCTAATTAAAATCTGAATTCCAAAAACCAAAACGACCTACTTAAGGACCTAATTGAGTCAATTTTTAATTGCTTGTTAATTCTAGGCTCACTTTTGGGTTCTTGACACTGAACTATTAAATTTCTTTGATTTCATTACGTCAATTCTATCATTTTCTTTCTTTCTACATTCTCTGTCACAACCACCTTCGTCTAATTAAAGTCCGACTTCCGAAAACCAAAACGACGAAATAACCATCAGTCGAAGCCTACGCACGGTCGTCCCCACTCGTTCCACGCGCGCAGATTCCAGTGCTCGTATACATAATCCCACGAAATTTGTATACAAAGAGCCTGAATTTTTCAGCATAACAAGAAACCCCGAGTCGGCCGCGTATTGCATTACGACGATCGATTCTTGCGACAATGCGCGCGAGTCGCGGGCCGGTTGGGAAAAGCGACGTTGATACAAATGACGATACATCATCGAGTCATTATTAAGCAGAAAGAAAGCCGTCTGAATAAAAGTACGGGACAAACCGTTAAGCTCGGACCGGGCAAAGCGACCGGGAGGTTAATGGCGCGTCGTTGCGTATTCCAGCGGTGTTTGTTTCCTCGCAGTTGGCAATAAACTAAGATAAATGAATGTCCGTAGGCTAGGCCACTATTATTCCTTCGCTCGCTGCTTACATTAAGTTGCCCCGCATTAACGGCGATACGGAATGTATCGCGCCCATTACAGCCTCGAATTCCCGATCGAACGATGGTCTCTGGCCGTTGGAAGTGCTGTTTCTTCGGGAAACTAGAAAATTTAGACACCTTCGCCGCGGTGGATGTTCGATGTTCGTTAAAAAGGAAATCGACGGAGGTTGCGGGGGAACAAATCGGTGATCGAATTTACTCTCGTTTACAGGGATCGCTGGGGGAGTATATTGTCTGGGAAAAGTAGGGAATCAAGGGGAACGGATAATTTCCGTGACACTCGGTGAGTCACAATTATTCAAATTTCGCGCGCTGGACACTGTCGCGGTAATCAATTCGGTGACGGGGGTTTCCAGTTCTGGACAGAAATTTGTGGTTAAGTGAAGATATTTTGGTGATTTTTCGGAGGGAGAAAAGGTGAATTGTAATCATAGGATAATTGATAGGGGCAAGTTTCATAAAAATGATGAAACTGTAAATAAATTGGTAACAAACGTAGGTTCAATGTATTAAAAGTATTGAAATTAAGGGTTAGTATACTAATAAATCATTGTAACATAAAAAATAAAACCTGTATTAAAGTGGCAAATAAAATAATAGTATTAAATCAATGAAACAAAACATTTGCGGTTGGGATAATTAACAGGGATGAGTTTATTAAAAATGACGAAAGATGATCTGTAAATAAACTGGTAACAAAAGTAGGTTCATAAAAAGGAGAAGAAATTGCAAAATTATTAGTTGTACACAAGATAGTCGATTATCAATGTTTTAAAAGTATTAAAATTAAGGGATTAAGATACTACTAAATCAATGTAACATAAAAAATGGAACCTGTGTTAAAGTGGCGAATGAAATAATAATGTTAAGCCAATGAAACAGAACAATACGCGAAAAAAGAACATCAAAGTGACAAACAAAACAAAAATGATAACTGGATGAAAATGATAAAAAGATTACTAAAATATAAAATAAACCAACGAGAGAGGTGCATTTTCGAAACGCAATAAAATAAAGAACCTTTTAAATTGATGGAAAATGAAATGTAACAAAAACGCCACATATCTTCGCGCATTAGCTAAGAAACAGTGCCCTACCTACCCTCCTGCGCGACGATGTCTAGATGTTGGAACAAGGAATAAAAGTGGTATACGACTAAACAGCAAAACGCTGTAATTTCACGTAACCATAGAGCATTACACCCCCTTACTATTCTACCATTATTCTTCACTTAAGCACGAACAAACTAAAAAACGCTCAATAATTCAGTAACTTCACAATTGCCCTTTACGTCGATGTTACAGCGTCTACCACGTGTAAACCAACATCGAAACCGTCAACCATCAAATACACGTCCAATTTTCTCACGGTTTCGTCTCCTCCGAGTAATACAAGTGGCGTCGCTGGTATAGAACGTAAGAAGTCCCATCGCCTAGAGACAAAGGGATTTGCATAAACGGTGAAAACAATTCCTTCATTGCCGCGACGAAGTATCCCGGTTCTCGCTGTTTCATCGATGTTTGACGACGTTGGGAGGTCTCGGAATTACGGCAGAGTTGCGTACCCGCGGTCCGAATAAACAGGTTCGTTACATTGTTAGCGTGGGCGGCCCGGGATAACCACGGGAAACGTTACGATTCGTTCGTAGTCGCAAAACGCGAACCATGAAGCCGCTGAATCCATCGAGCTAAGGAGGCGAGCTCCTTGAGGGCGTACAGTGGCAACGTTGGCAGTAATGTCGTCGCAAAATCCACTGTGAGTATGCCTCAAATTCCGGCGGAGGAGGCTCAGCTCGTAAAGCACAGGAAGATGCATGCCGGGATATTAAGGCCATTATCGCCGTTGCATATTCATGCCGTATTATAATGAAAATACAGTTTATTACCGAAGATTAACAGCTTCTTACGACGACGTGCACTTGCCGCCGCTTGGCGACTACGCTTCCCGGCGTTTTAGTAACCCACCCCTTGCCAAAACCATTCGAACGAGACGGAAACGCCGGGTTTATAACATTCTTGACGCTACGCGTGGATTTCAAACCGTGGAACAACTCCAGATAAACAGACAGGGCACGTATTGGCTACGCGAGTAAATAGAGTGCATAGCGAACTTATTATTTCAGCGGTTTGCTGTTAAAACTGTTTTCTAATATAGTCGATATTTGAAAATGCTATGCGAGAATCGATGCGTTCGACCGCCCAACGCAGGACAAACTTCGTCCGACAAAGGCCTGCCGAAAGCTTCCGGTGAACGGGAACAAGCGCTGCACAACGGTAGGAGACCAGTTCAAACCATTTACAACCAGTTAGGCAAGAACGTCTGAGGTGTGAACGACGTGTTACTTTTTTAGTGTATCTTATGTTTGTGAATCAGATTTTAAATATATGTAAAAGAAATGCGGTAGAATTTATGTAAATCTATCGCATTTCTTTTAAAACTCATTTTCTTTCTAAATTTCTTTAATATCACTCGGTTTGTAATGGTCTGAACCTGTAGTTCTTGTTTCGCTATTTAAGCATATTCACCCAATGTAATTTTTACGATGTAGGTGAATTATTTAATTTAGATTTGTTGGGTCTTTTCTAGTACTGGCTAGTGTTACTTATCGAATCAAATTTCTTTAGTATAGTCGATATTTGAATGCGAGAATCGATGCGTTCGACCGCAGGACAAAAGTCTGCCGCAGGCTTCCGGTGATCGGGAACAAGCGTCGATTAACGGTAGGAGATCATTTCAAACCATTTACAACCGGTTAGGCAGGAACGTCCGAGATGTGAACCACGTATTACTTTTTTAGTGTATCTTATGTTTGTGAATCAGATTTTACATATATATTCAGCCTGCTTAAATGTATTAAATATATTAAATACACGTGATCGTTCGTTTTATTGGGAAAGTGAGACTCCGACACTAGGAATAATTCTCATATTGAAAATATATCGGTTTTCGTTAAGTACTCTTATCGTAGAGTGTGCAAAGGAGCGTTCGTTCAAGGAATCGAGACTTAAAATGTTTATACCGGACGAGTATTTTAGTTAATTCATTACTTTTCAATCCCATTGCAACGATTCATTGTGTATTGAAAGATAAAGAATCACCTCCAGGGTATAGACTTTAATAATCAAGAGTCCTAAGAAGTACGAAGTCTCACTACATTTCACTGTGGTTTTAGAATCTTTGATTAGGAGTCTTGACTCCTAAAGTTTACTTCAAGTAAAGACACAATGAATTAAGTAATGACCGTGGCATTCAA